GAATGAGACATATTAGATGACATATTATATCTAGAGTGACGTACCTGTTTCTTTTTCTTTTTCTGATTTGCGGAGAGACATAGATTCACGAACTCTTCTTCATCACTAGAGCTTTCATTAGAGGAGGAAGAATCACTGTCGCTTTCCCACGCGATGTACGCCCTCCTAGGCTTTGATGCTCTCTTATGTGACTTCGATTGTTCCTTTTCTTTTTCCTTGTTGTTCATTGGACAGTCCGGTTTGTAGTGACCGGGCTTTCCACATTTATAGCACGTTCCTCTAGTCTTTTTGCCTTTTTGATTGTCATCTTTGGAGAACCTTGATTGCCTTCGGAAATTTACCAGGTTCTTCTCCGAATGTTGGATGCCGTTCTTTCTCACGTACCGGTTATACCGTTTAACGAACAGCCCCATGTCCTCATTTATGTCTTCTTCTTCGTCGTCGCTTGAAGAATAATCACTTTGCTCTTTTGCTTTAGACTTCGAGGAAGAAGCCTTAAGAGCTATTGACTTCTTTTCACTCATCTTTACTTTGTCCTTCTTTTCTTTCCTTTCATGTTGGTCAAGACTCAAGAGTACCTGTTCATGCTCTTGTAGTTTGCCAAACAATGTAGTCAGGTCTAATACCGTAAGATCATTTGCCTCTTTGATGGCGGTCACTTTCGGCTGCCATTCCCTGCTAAGACATCTCAAAACTTTATTAGTAGCAAGATCATTGGAAATAGGTCTTCCTAGTGAATGTAATCTGTTTATGAGATGAGTAAATCTCTTTTGCATGTCAGCAATGGTTTCCCCTTGCTCCATGAAAAAAAGATCAAACTCTTGTATAAGAGTGTTGATTCGAGCCAACTTAACATCGTTTGTCCCCTCATGGGCAATTTGTAGTGCATCCCACATAGTCTTAGCCGTAGGGCAATGGGATACACGGTAGTATTCATCTACACCTAATGAGGAGATTAGAATGTTCTTAGCTTTCCAATCGTAATTATACTTTCGCTCATCGTCGTCGGTCCATTGTGCTTCGGGCTTTGGCACAACTTCGTTATTCTCATTTGTCATGGTTATTTCAATCGGACCATTGAGAATAACGTTCCATATCTTTCTATCTATGGAATTAATGTGCACCCGCATACAGTCTTTCCAATAGCTATAATTTTCACCGTTAAAAACGGGAGCTCTATTGTACGCCCCTTTTGGTTCGTTAGCCATTATTCTATCAATGTTGTATTTGAAGCACCGGAGAACCAGGCTCTGATACCACTTGTTAGACTAAGGCACGGATCTAGAAGGGGGGGGTTGAATAGATCCCTTTTAAAAATTTGAGTGGCGCTACCAATAAAATTGGTTTTCAAAATTGTTTTCAAATGCGGAAGCGGCCTTGGAAAATATAGTCTAAAACGAACAACTATTGGAGAGCCGGATATGCGTCAAGCGGATGAATTTAAGACGATAACGGATAGTAAATCACTACACACTTTTATGCAAAACTCAGATGTGATTCACTCGTACTATTTCCTTATTCCAATGATCAAAAATTACACCAAAACTAGCAGCAAAATTAAGGCAATTTTAGTTCAGCACTTTTGTCGAACAGTTGGTGTGCACAAAACTAGCAGCAAAATTAAGGCAATTTTAGTTCAGCACTTTTGTCGAACAGTTGGTGTGCACAAAACTAGCAGCAAAATTAAGGCAATTTTAGTTCAGCACTTTTGTCGAACAGTTGGTGTGCACAAATACCTTAAATGATATTTGTGTTGAATGAGTGATTGAAAAAGCCTTAGTACAGTATTTCTATTGTACTTAGTAGTTAAAAAACAGTGTTTCACCAACTCACTCAATCAATACTACAATTTGACAAAATCACTTATTCTAGAATCACTTAATTTTTAAGCTGAAATTGAAAATGCAGAAAATAAAGGAACACAAGATTTGATGAGGCAGTTCCCCAGTCGTCCTCGCGTTGGGGTACGTCTGCCCTCAATTCTACAAAGAGAATTGAGATATGTATTGAATAGATATCACCTGTTTGGTAGAACAGTTATACACAAGAATCGATAGACAATTGATACAAACAATCTTAATGTTGCTGATAATTTCTACCACTTCTTGCCCCTTGATTCAAGATGAATCAAGTCCTCCAATTTGATGTGAATGACCTCCGATTGCAGCCACCTTATTGACAACTCTTCCGTTGATCAAACCTTCGGCACGGCTGATCTTAGACACACCCAAATTGAACCCGGAACGTCTTCAACCTTTCAACGCCCTAGCTACTAGATTGATCAACCTTCCGCTAACCAATCACCTTCGCACTCGCTTGATTGTTGAACCGACGATTCCGTAACAAAAGCCTTCAAAACCTGTAGTCTTGATAGGTAAAACCTCAAAGGTTTTCTCCCAAGAAACACCTGCACCAGCTTCCACTCGAACCGGATCTTCAATCACGCGTTCGAACCTTATCACCGTCGAGCAAACCACAAACCGCAGCAAAAAATTGATTATCTGTAATTTGAGGATTTGTGAGTTGATTGAACGATGAAGATGAAGAACACTGATGCACCTCTTTCACGTTTCTTGACCTGAACACTTTCTCACAATGCTTTCAAAAATGTTGTTAAAAAAATGTTGTAAAAAAATGTTAGTTGTTAAAATTGAAAAGACAGCTATTTATAGTAATACACAAAACAGACAGATGACAGATCAAAGAAACATAGCAGAATTTCTGTTTCTGCGCGCGAACGGTCGACCATAGGGTCGGCGTGCGCTGAGCCGTGTGATTCTTAAACTGTCATGCGCCGAGTCAGCGGTCGACGCATGATCTTCATGCGCTGAGCCGTCTGATTCTTAAACCTGCATGCGCCAAGTTAACGGTCGACGCATGGTTCCATGCGCTGACCCGTGGGGAATACACAGCTTCATGCGCTGAGTGGTATGGTTGACTCATAGCTACAAAACCTGCAAAAATTGATATGTTTGTTGTTTCGTGCATCTTGTCACGACCAAACATTAGTCACATATATTGCCAATGAAATATGATGATTTAAAAAGGATATAGGAAGGATGTAATATGTTAAGTATTGCATGACGATTCTGATTCATCCGAGGTTGTACTTTGTCATCATCGTAAGTATGCATGACGACTCCGATTCATCCGAGGATGTACTTTGTCATCATCGAAACTTGAGAACGTATGTTGTGAGACAGTTTTCCCTCACAATTTTCTCTGTAATTACATCAACAACCTTTACGATATTAGTCTTTTTCGCAAAGACTTCATCATCCACAATAGCGTTCTTATTTAAGGATATACCCTCCTTCGCAAGGTCAATAATCTCCACTAATTCTCTAATGACGATATTAGAGGACATCACCGAAACTATAGAGGGAGAATGGATGGTTTCCCCTTTTTTTCATAGCCATAATCTCAGAAGTTGCTCACTATCCCTGCAAAAGAAAAAAAAACACACATTATAACACAAAAATAATGACAACTTGACCAAAAAAAGTAAAGTAACACGAGTAGATAATATATTCATTCCTCACAGAAGATTTCCTTCATCAATTCCTTATTACTCACATTAAGTAGTAAGCAAGTCTTGATATATCAAAGCCTTTTTTTTGTGGGGCGACGTCACTAGTATCGACAATTATCTCACAATTGTATTCTTTCCGTACTTTTATAAGACAATTTTTCAACCTCATCTCCTCATTAGTATCATCCTCTTTCTAGATGTACATCCTAAAATATAGGATAAAGTGAGCTCGTGACCATAACTTGAAGAACCTTTCCTCACAGTGTAGTCGATCATAATACTCATCCTCCTTCTTAGGGCTCAACTAGGACTTTAAGCTACCTCCATGACTATCTAGGCCAAATTCCCCATTCCTTCATTTACGAGCGCCTTAACAGGAATCTCACCGTTTTTAATGTGCAACCGGGAGGAAGGTTCAACTAAAAAGAACTTATGTTTGAAAATATTAAAGAAGTCCATATATACTTTAGAGTTTTTGACCTTGTTTCAAAAGATCAACTCTCGAAGATGACCGTCATCAACATACTTTCTTAATACGTAACATAGATTAAAACATAATTCGCTCCGAAAGAAAAAATGCTACCAAAGAAGAAAAAACTATCAACAAAAATAAAAATAAATAGTATTCAAAACATAGGTTAAAATGCAAAAATTTCGTTAAGAAAAAAAAAGAAAAGAATGAAAGTGAAGATTTGGTAATTGCGTTTTGATATGTCTTATGGTTGGGGGATTCTTAAGCGTTGGAAAAATATTTGAAAATTATATTGGAACGACACAACGGTAACCTTTCCTTTCTTTTCTTTTCTTTCCATTCTTTTTCTTTTCTTCTCTTTTCTTTTCTTCTCTTTTCTTTTCCCTTGCTTCTTCCACACTCATTCTATCGCATCTTATGTTCTTTCCATCCATCACCAAAACCGAAGCAAATCGTTCGTTTTTCACACTCTCTGCAACAACAGCATCATCATGCAAACAGAAAATCATAAAATGCCGAAGAAATCAATCGGAAACTTGATGCGAAGAAGACTCTCCGATATCACAAATTCTTCTCACTCTCAACAAGAAAACAATAATCATACACTCATTCTCGATAATAATTGCATTCAGCAACTCCTAAAGGTAACCTAAATTACACTTTTTTCTTCTTCTCCTAATTTGTTTTGAATCGGTTATGATTTTTCTGGTGTTGAATTATGCTTCAGGAAAGAGCGAATTTGATCAACCTTCTTGCTGACAGAAAGTATCCTTTAATTTAGATACTCCTATTCATGATGATAATTAGGGATTTTAATGATTTTCGTCTTTGAATTGAAATTGTGTAAATTTGATTGTGCTTTATGGAATTGAAATCAAACCTTGTTTCTGTTTCAGAAAGTGATTAGTTTTGTTTGTTAGGAGAAAGTGTTTTTTTTCCTTGATTTGGTTTGAACAGTAAAATGATAGAAAGGAATGGAGCTGAATTGCAGAGACTGAGAGGTGATATGAAGAAGCTTCAAATGCAAAACTGGAATCTTGCTCAGTCTAATAGTCTCATGTTAGCGGTAAGTTATTCATCATCCAGCATAATGCATAGCCAATTTGTGGTTTAGTGATTATGAAGCTCAAACACCGGACACCCTGACACTGACACGTCGACACCAGTCTAATAGTCTCATGTTAGCGGCAAGTTATTCATCATCCAGCATAATGCATAGCCAATTTGTGGTTTAGTGATTATGAAGCTCAGACACCGGACACCCTGACACTGACACGTCGACACCAGTGATAATTTGAAAAAATGAATAAATTGAACGTAATCACAGGTGTCGGTGTGTGCTATAGAGTTATTTAATAATGGATTAAATATGTTTTTTTAGTTCTTACTACGGTCCTACAACTTACAAAATTGCATGTATTAGTCCTCTTTAGTGGTTAAAAACATACAGTTTTGTAAATTATAACTAAATGACGGGTATTTTGAGAATTCTATTAGGGACTTTGGACTAAGTAGTAGAGATAATTATAATTGAGGGACTGAATTGAAGTTTACTTGATTATTAGTATTTAATATCATATTGACCTTGAGAGTGATGATAGTGATTTTGTGTTTCTTATGGTTGATTTTGTGTTTCTTTAGTGATTAAAAGCATATATTTCTGTAAATTATAGACTAAAAGGTGGGTATAGATTTGAGAAATCTATTAGGGACATTGGACTAAGTAGTAGAGATAGTGATAATTGAGGGACTGAATTGGAGTTTACTTGATTATTTTATTCAATATCATATTGACCTTGAGGGCGTTGATAGTGATTTTGTGTTTCTTATGGTTGATTTTGCAGGAACTTAACTTGGGGAGGGATAAGGTGAGTTCATTCATAGGGTTTCTCTCTTTTTTGTTCATGAACTTGAAATGCTTGTCTTATTGAAGCTTTGTTTTAAAATTTGATGGTTCTTGTATTTCAGATAAAAACACTGCAACATGAAATTTTTTGGAGGGCTGCTTTGATTAATGGAAAGGCCTTCGACATACAGGTATGTTTTTAAGCCTGATTCTCAATTACTATGCCTTTGTTTGGTTGAGCGGGGTATTATCGTATACATGGTCTTGGGTGAAGTATCCTAGTGAAACAAATAGATACTAAATGTATGTTTGGCTCCACTTTTGAAAGAGGGAAAAATGATTTTGGAGTTGTATAATTAATTTTGACACAAGGAGAATTGATTTTGGTTTAAGAATTGACTCTACTTGAAGATAAGATTAATTGTAGTTTATGAGTCTAAATGTGACTTTTACACGAAAATTTACGGTTCAATTCATTTTTTCCCAAATGTATTCAAACATTAATCACTTTATCTTCAATTCATATTTAACCACATTTAATTTTATTGAATCATTACATTAAGAATTAATTTTCCTCATCGTAAAACCAACCATAAATTGAGGTTTCTATTACGCGTGACCAAATCCTATATGGAGGTAAAAGCAGTTAACTTATAAAGCAAAAACAAGTTAAGATCAACTTTATATTTCTAAAACCATTTTTTTTGTTGGCTCTTGGCATAAATATTCATGTCCTTTTTTAATTGCTGCACTGCATGTAAACATCAAGTACTGATAGCATACCTTTTTATTATTCCTTCTTTATGTAAAGATTAATACCACCAAGTTATTTTAAATTATGATTCAATGGCTATTGTTAATGTGTTGTTCTCAACTTAAGGCTTTTTTTGTTAGCTCTTGGCATAAATATTCATGTCCTTTTTTAATTGCTGCACTGCATGGAAACATCAAGTACTGATAGGATACCTTTTTTTATTCCTTCTTTATGTAAAGATTAATACCGCCAAGTTATTTTAAATTATGATTCAATAGCTATTGTTAATGTGTTGTCCTCAACTTAAGGCTTTTTTCCTTTTCATTCATCTTGTTATTATGTTCTAATTAAGTTTTCGTCTAACTTCACCAAGTGCTATATAGGCCCAAAATAGTGGCCTGCCTTTACTATTTCCCCCCTCTTCTAACAAATGGTTTTGGCAGGAAAAAGAAGAGATTGACTCTGAGAAGAATGTGTCATCATCACAGTTACAGGTGCCTGATCTTTAAACCATTCCTTTATTTTTTATCGTATTGATGAAGGCATTGATGAATGGTATTCCTCATTCTTTCATTCTTTCTTGTATATTTTGATTGGCTCAAGGAAGGAGATGAAAAGGAAGCACTGCAATCCCCTAGAACTAGCAATGATGAAAAACAATGTTGTTTGAATAGGAGACGTATAAGGAGTAAATGTAAGTGTTAGGACTTACCTTCTTCATTGACATATTGTACTTACATTTTCTTAACTCTGTTTATGGAAATTTACAGCTACTGGTTCTTCAACCGTTGCCACAAAAAACACAAGCAAAGAAAAGAGTAAAGACAGGTTAGTTCTCACGCTCATTAGATATTAAAGCTCATTGAACGAAGCTTCTAAATTTAGTTCTGTAGAGTGCTTGAAATTAATACATCAATGAGATTCCAAAGTTCCAAAAAGTAAATTTAATATGGTAAATTGTTAAGTAATAGATAAACTATGAGAATAACAAATGCATTCCTAAAATTATAGCATATTATCACATTAGTCCATCCGTAAACATATATTGTTAGAGGTTTATAAAGTGACATGCCAAATGATCGAGTAACCTTCCGTGTGAATCCCTCTTCAATGTCACATCCAAGTCGCAAGAGTAATTTATAAGGTAAGAATTATTTAATGTGTTTGAATTTCGATGTAAGAGCCTTATAGTTGACTTGAAATGGATGAATTTCGATGTATTTACTAATTTGTAAAATTCAGTAACTATTTTGATCGATGTTAACAATTTGAAGTAGCACTTTTTGCCTACGACTCAAAATTGTCAATGTGATAAGTTCCTCATTTCCCTCTGTACACAGAAGACGTTTGAGAAGACATTCTGCTACGTCGAAGGTCCATGAACACGAACCTCTAGAAAATTTATTTGAGATAGAGGATGCTCAATACGCTATTACTCAATCGGGATCAAACAAACTGAGTACTTCAGCTGTAAAAACTGAAAGAAGAATAAGTTCTGATTTAAGAAAGGAAGCTCCAAGGCATTCTTTTGGAAGACCACTGCGAAAGGCAGCTGAGAAGGTTCCATCTTACAAAGAGATTCCTCTAAATGTCAAGATGAGAAGGCTAGCATAAACCAAATAGAGAAGGACTCTATTACTTCAGTCATTTCTCATTTTGTTGTATGTTGAAACTTATGTCTTTCATTCGCGTAGTTTTTGTACACCTTTTTTATGAAATGAAAATAGTGGACACTTTAGAAAGTATTAGTTTCCATGGTTTGATTATGTTCTTTTCATCTTCAATTATGTGTCATGTTTGTTTTCATCCACAATCAGTTTCAAGAGACCAAACAAATGGATGGGAATTCAAGAAGGAACTTTGCATATTCTCAACATGATCTCAGATGTACATATCTAGAAAATATTAAATTGTGTTGTCTAAAAGTATATTTCCAAAAATGTGTTTTTTTAGAAATATGGGAGGTGAAAAAGGTTCCTCTCTACATAAATAGAAGATAATCACATGCCTAATGTTAAACACACCTCATCTTATCATATATTATAACAAAAATGTTTTGTTATCTTTGAAGTTGTGGTAGGTTTGATAAAATCACATTAATTTGTTGAAAATAAAAAAAAAATTAGATACTTGTCTGATATGTGTCATAACGGTCATACCGATGTTAAAAACCGATTGAAAGAGTATTAATGTCAAACACCAATTGAAAGAATATCGAAGTAAAAGATGACATCATTTTTTAAGACAGTTATTTAAATTTTGCAATATTGTAATTCAAGTAATATAGGGCACAACACGTCTTAGAATTTTATATGTCCTTAATTCACATGTTTTTACATACTGTCGCTTTCGCGAAAATAAGGTGTCGGCACAACAGAAGAGTCGCCACCTTTCGTTATTTATCCCTCGGAGCGGGAAAGGAAACGATCGGAAAAACCTAACGAAAAAGGGTAAGACAAGGTCGTCGCAACCATTGTCTGGGTTCGGGAGTCGGTTACGCAAGGGGAAGGTGTTAGCACCCCTCACGTCCGTCGTACTCGACGAGATCTACGCTTGTTGTGTTTACTGGACGAGTTGGTTTATTTATCTACCTATCAAGGCTGGCTTAAAAAGAAAAGAAAAATGACTCGGCAAAGCGTCGCACTTTATGCCTACGTATTCTCATCAGAGAACGAGAAATCAGAGTCAATGTAGTTCGACCTACGACGGGTTACGGGGAATGTGGCTCGCCAATACATCAGTATTGTGCCTACGTACTCTCAACAGATATGAGAGATCAGAGCTTACGTAGTTCGGGACACTACAGATTATTTTCTGTCTTTTACGGAAGAAGTGTTTTTTATTGTGTTTGCAATTTCAATCGCACTAAAGACTATGACCTGAGAGTGAATGCGTCGCATGTCACCCAAAGGGTACCATAATAAACATCCAGACTGTGGAAAAGAAACTCTCCCACAATCCTTTCTCAGATAGCTTAAGGCCCGTAACGTAGGAAAGAAATCATTCATGATTACTGTATCTTAAGCTATTTTGAGATGAGAAGAGAACAGGCTCAACTAGGAGGGAGACTATCAAGTCCTTTTGTTGTCATGCCAAGGATTCATCCTATGGTTGAGGTTTGAAACAGGGAACTCTTAGAAGTTATCATGCATAGGTTTCAACCTAAAGTTCTATCATCACTTCCTTTTCAAAGGAAATGAGAGTCCTAAGGGATCATGTCAATGATACACAGAAACAGATAAAGCATCAGCTTAAACAGTAAACAGTAATACGGTAAAATGCATGCAATGCAAGTGAGGGAGGAAATGTGTGTGGGACATCAGCCTCCACAAGCTCATCTCAACCTCAATCCAGAATGAATAACAGTAATCATACTGAGGAAAATAAAACATGCTATCAAGCAAAATACAGTAAACTGCAATCATACAGAAGAAATAAAATCATGTTATCAAGCAAACAGAAACCACATGGGCAAGGGAGCAGGGCTCTACCGAATACCCGCAAGCAAAGTCATACAGTAACGATACAAGAAGAGGGAGCAACTCAACCTCTAGTGCAATCATGCTCCTAGATTAAAGCTATTCTATATATGGACTTATTCTAATGCATCAAGCAAGTCAAACAAGGCACATCAATACAGAAAAGAAACAAAGAAGAAAGCAGATCAACTCCTCTCTCAACTTCAAGCCTTAGCTCTTCTAGCAGCAACTCAGTTTTCAGACCTCAATCACTCTTGACAAATATCAATTTGCTTCTCCAGGCTCAACCTTTCAACATAAGTTTCAACTTATCTTCTTATTCAAGCTTCAACTCCTTAATCAGTTCCGCCTTCAGGCTTCATTCTTAACCACAAGTATCCACTTGATTCCTTCAGGATCTCCAAGCCTCAAAGTAGGTATCAACTCATCCTTTGATCTTCAAGCTTCAGCTAAAATGGCAATGCTCAAGGAATCATCCTCTTCCATACTCTTCAATGAACTCTTCATCTTCACACTCAAGCCCAACATCTCTCAAGATACTCAAAACAGAAGAAATCACTTAACTGGATAAGCTAGGATGTTAAATTGCTTACTGACCACCAAAGGTGACCTATAAGGGTTTAACATCAAAGGAAGTGTTCCCTCAAAGGTTCTACTTCCCAGGTACCATCACTTATCCCTCCAAAGGAGGGAGGTGAATACCATGGAAGGACCTTGAATCATGGGGAGGAATGGAGGTGAAAGATATCATCCATGTTTAAGAAAGAAGTTAACTAATTCTAAGCTCTTCCTAATCCCTAACCCTAAAACAACAACAAAACAAACAAGACTACAAGCTCTCAAGCTCCTTCTTCAATCTCCAAGTCTTCTACTATGCTTCTCCATGCTCCTCAAAGCAAGACCAAGCCCACCAAGCCAAGCAAAAACCCACAAAGCAAGGCAAAACAAAATACAAGCCCACAAGGGCAACACAAACAACAATCAACTACAAAAATCATTTAAAAATAGTATACTATCATATTAAAATCTAATATAATTTCTAGGGGATCCTATATACCTACCCTTAATACCCTATATGTCCCAATATCTAACTTGACCTAGAAACCCAAAATTCTAGTGTTATTGTGGACCTATGTTAAGGATTGACCTAAATCTACACAACCTAAAGTCATCTAACCAAAACTAATCAAAAATTCATCACAAAATTATGGAATAAATCCAGAGGGGAGCTAAAGTCCTAATCTAACTATCCTAAAGAGAATGGCCTAAAAATTCAAAGGGAACTAGCTAAACAAAATTCTAAAAGTCTATGCATCAACATAAAAGGAATTAAAATGCTATTAAAAGAGAAAATACACAAAAAATATTAAAAATGCATGAAATGCAAATATTTTTATTTTATAATTTCTAGACATTATCATGAAATGGGAGAAAAATCCCCATGCAAAAATCATCATTTTTCTATTTATTATGATTTTTCAAAGGTTAAAATAAAATGGAGAAAAAGAAATTAAAATGAGAAATGCATTGGTGTGAATAGCAATTATGTTCAGTTCAAAATGCAGATGGGCTCAAAATGGGGTGGGGATATCAATGCGCGCCAGGCTCAGTTTTCATCAGAAAATCAATTAACAAAATATAAAGAAAAAGAAAAATGAACGGTGCAGTTAGTAACAAAATTCAGTTCAAATATCCAATGGGCCACGAATGGGGGTGTGGATATCAACTAAGCCCAGTATCCCAGTTTAATGAAACGCAGCGCTTTGGGGTGTCTTCAGATTTCCCTCTCCAAATGAAATTAAATCACAGCCACACGATCCAAGTCCCAGTCAATGAGTCTTGCCTCATCCAACCGCCATGGCATTGTCTTCTTCCTCCAGCTAGGGTTCAAATGAGGAAGTCATGGAAACAGAGGTTCAAGCTCAATCTTCACCCATTCGTATCACCTCAATTCTCCATGAAAAACTAAAATTCAAAACCCTAATCTGTCCAGAATTTCACCCTGAATCTAATCATGGCATCAAAATCCATTGAATCACCCTAAATCTCCAAACCCGATCCAAGATCAAAAATATACTCAAACTTCAGTTCTAACAATTCTTGAAATTAAGTACCTCAGAATGATCACCACCTCACACTGGTTAATTCTTGATATCAAACTCATGCTATAGCTCACCATAACTCGTGTTCTTGGTCAAAACAAAAATGGTGTCATCAACTCAAATTTCACCAATTGATCTCAAACTTCCCAGAATCCATCACCTAATTGTCTCTAACCGTTCTAACCTAACAATTCTACCTAATCATGCTTAAATTATGGTGTAGAAGAAAAGTTACTAACCTGTCAAATCTTGATTCACAGATAGGGTAAACCTTCACTTCAAGCTCTCAAACTCTTCAGAATCGATCCTTGAATGATGATCTTGCTACTGTTTGCAAAAGATTGAACCAAGAAAGCCTGAATCTCCAAAACCGATTATGACTTGCAACCTTCAAAATCCAAAAGCTATCTCCTCAATTCTCCATGGTTTTGCTCTCAATTTGGTATGCACAGCTTCAGTGTGATCAATGGAATGTGTTTGGATTGAAAGAAGCAATGGAAATGGATCAGAATGTGGAATTTGATTTCAACTTGCAATGGAAGCAATTGAAATGGCTATCTCACTTCCCTCTCTAATCTCTCACCAACCTTGCATCTGAGCAAGTTCTAAATCATATATAGAATGCATTGGACCTCTCTAGAACCATCTGGAACCATCCAATGAGAAATTGGGATTCTCATGTCATGAGTTTATGATTTCATCTTATCTCATGCATCATCTCATGCCAAGCCTCTTGCAGCAACCAATTCTGACTTGAAATTCTCCTTAGATGAGATATGGGATGTGTTAAGATACTTAGCAAGCTTGTACATTGCCTTTCCTTGTGTTTTGCCTTTGTACCTTAAGATGCAAGCAACCATTTTCCAAAGCAAGTCCATGATCTAGGTCTCAATTCAAAAAAGTGGCTGAACCATTGTTTTTAAAGTGCTTTTTAGAGTCAAAATGACCTATCATATGCCATGGTTTGGATGTGTAACTTGAAAATTTCAATTTCCAACTTCAACTTATTTAACTTATGCCTCCATTCTAGGTC